GACACATTTCTAGCATAGCCCCTCTTCTGAGAAAACCTAGTGATAATTTTTTTTTAAATCTCATCTGAAATGAGCAGTGTTGGGCCAGGCATAACGCATTCAGATTACTTGGTTGATGTTATAAGTAAAGTAATGTGTTAGAAGTAACATGCATTACATAATAAGATTTGTTTTAATGATTCGAGTAAAGTAATGTATTACAAGTAACATGCATTACCTAATCAGATTACTTTTTGATCTAACAATTAATTACAAGTAATGTGCATTACGTAATCAGATTACATTTTGTTGTTACGAATAAAGAAACGCACTACAAGTAACATGCATTATTTAATCAGATTACTTTTTGATCTCCCAATGCATTACAAGTAACATGCATTAAATAATCAGATTAATTTTGATCTGACAAGCAATGCATTACAAGTAACATGCATTGTGTAATCAGATTACTTTTTGATGTTACGAGTAAAGAAACATTATAGGTAAACAGATATTTTTTGGTCTAAGAAGTAATGCATTACGTAATTAGATTACTTTTTGATGAAATGAGTAAAGTAATGCATTACAAGTCACAAATTATGTAATTACATAACTTTTTTAGACGTCAATGAAAATTACATTCTAATAATACAACTACATTTATTTACAGTCAAAAAAAGTTACTGCAGATTAAGTATTTTCAAAAACAATATTCACAGTATAAGTATAAATTGTAGCTAAAATATAGCCATTGATGCATGAGGTCCACTATAGTGGACGGGTGATTTATCAGATTTTTCTCCCAATCTAAAATCAAAACTTGGAAAATTTTACTGTGATATGACTCATTAGATACTGCTTGATGCTGCAATATTTTTCTTACCTACAAGAGTGTCCTAGGATAGAAGGAATGGGTGGATATTCCGGAGCACCTTGGCATGTCTGACTGGCCATTGGCCATCTTGGTTTGGAGGGGGAAAAAATCAAAACTCAATGGCTTATAACTTTGTTGCAATGCATAGGATGATGCACCAGGGTCCACTGAAGAGATTGATGTGCAACTTTCCCATCAAAACCCTTGCAAATTCAAGAAAATGCTTTTTAAATAGCTGTCCACTCTAGTGACCACTATGAAAGGGTTAATATTGAACCAAACATGAATGACGAGTCACGCAGGTCCTGTGCTACTCCGCAGCGGTAAGACCAGAACCAGTATAAAATAGTCCGAATATAAACGCTTATTATAGGTGTACCACAGTGATTCAGGATAAGACAAAGCACGATTTGGACAACTGATACATGTACCCGCTCATTATATAAACCTTTGAACATTTTGAACACAAAAAGCTAAGCACTAAAACTGATTGAGCCATCTCTATCATCTGGTTGAGGTGTATTATGCCAAAAAATCCACTAGATTTCACAGCGTCAATCAACAGCACTTGTCACAACACTTCTTCTAACATGAAACAAATAAATCACCCCAGCCATGTGAACTGTTTTTGGTGAAATTTTGCAAGCTAAGCATATTACATATTCCACTGTAAGAGCCTTAACTTTACAAAATGATGTTACTTGGTGCTATGAAAAAACTTTAGGATATTTTTAATCATTTTTCAAAAACATGTTAACCATCACCCCCTTTTTGAGAATGGACATTACAATGCACTATTAAAACTTGGTTGTAATTCAAGTATGCTTTGGAATAAAGGCCTAAGTTTAGTCTTGTTTTAAAGAAAACACTCAGCAGATTATTGCTGAAGTAAAAACACTTAAAAAAATAAAAGTATGAAAAGGTTATGGAAGTTTTAAATGTACATTAAATCAAATATACTTTACTAAATATTTTTTTCTTTTATATAAAATATATATTTTACAAAATATGTTTTCCTATAAAATTACTATAAAATCAAAGCCATATATCTAACAAAGTTGTGATCCAAATTTGAAGTTGATATCACAAAAATTGAAGTTCTCATGAGATTTTGTTTAGGCTTAATACCAAAAATGACATAAATTCCATTGAATTTAATTGTATGCATTCTGCTGTAGCAAATTAATATATTTCTGTCCAAATATCACTTCTGTTACAAAATATGGAACCTTGAGACTCAGACCTTTCTGATAATGTGTTTTGTCAAGATTAGAAAAGGTTTTGATCATAATTTGAAAAAGTATGGCAAAGTATGTGTTGAATTCCAGTACCATTTATTACCATTAAAAGGTTTGTTTTTACTTACAATTATTTTTTGCAACACTTTTTCATTAAAAAAAAACACCCTCAATGACATCATCGTCATAAACCGACAGTCTGTAGACTGGTGGTTGATCTGGAATACACATTTTATGGTAAAAAATTCTTCCATGTAGTTCTGTTCACAACCTTTGGCGAACGGTCCTCTCACTTTAGAAAGCCTGACAACATCGCTGACTTTGAAATTAAATACAGGCTTCTCTGTCTGTATCACCATACAAATTTTGAAACACTTGAACCTCATTTGTGTTTTAGGGCACAATATGGCTGCCGTCGCATCATCCAAGGGGATTCAGCATACTGGTGGTGGTTGAGGAGATTACCCTCTCTATGTAAAGCGCTTTGAGTGCAGAGAAAATTGCTGTATAAATGTAATGAATTATTATTATTTACTCTGTCTGTAACGGTCACCAGCTGGAGTGCCCTTTTGAGCCAGCAGAGGGCACTTCAAAAAGGGCACTCCAGCTGGTGACCGTTACACTGTCGACATCCACCGGTCTCATTTTAATACTTTGATAAAAACTGATGATGTATTCTTGTATTATGTCCTGTAAAACATTCATGTGTTCGTAAAAAATCTCCACAAACAACTTTTTAATTTTCCACGATGCTGGCTTTCAAATCAGTAGCGGTAGCGAAATGATAAATTTCATTTAATCTTGAAAACGCTTGTTAAAAAATTCCTTTCCCTGATCCGTCTGTAATCTCTGTGGAAGACGCCCCTCTTCGAGAATAGACTCAAACGCTTTAGTAACCTCAAGACCCCTCTTATTCTCCAACACACAAGCCCAAGCATACTTGCTAAATATGTCTATACACGTCAGCAAATATTTATTACCATCATTATCCTTGGACTAGGCCATCATGTCAACAAGATCAACCTGGAACTGCGCATCAACCCCGTACACAACAACTCTAATTGTGTTTCTATTTTACAGGAGCTGTTGTGTGTAACGTGTCGGCATCTTCTCCAGCTAACCAGGCTGAAACCCGTTTATTAATATCACTGACATAAGCCCCTCTTTAAAGGCTTGTTCACATACAAACTCAGACAAATAAAATCCCCAAATAACTGTAATTAGGGGCCAAGCACTGATGGTGTAGAGGCACCTATTGTATCTGTTCCGGTTCTTATTATTCTTCCGTTTCTTCTTCCGACTGGGTGTCTATAGCAGCCCATAGAACCGATTGCGGCAAAGGTATGAAGTTTGGTACACTGATAGAGGACTGTCTGAAAGTCTTTATAACAAATTTGGAGTCTCCAACTCAATCCCTCCAGCGCCACCAACTGTCCAAAATTTCACTCATATTTTGCTAATAACTTGAACCAGATCATTTCCAGACCGTGCCGACCAAAGGTTATCGAATTCATAAAAAACGCTGCATGTCGTTCTCGAATACTGCGCAAATTAATTTTACGTAACGCTTACAAAAACAAACATAAGGCTGTATCTCCGCAATGCTTTTACTTATTTAGAACAAACTTAGTACATGTCATCATAAGCATGACCTGAGGCTACATGCTGCGTTTCGGTGCTGCGCCACCTACTGGTCCGAAGATATGAAAAATGGCTATTTTTGCTTATAACTTCTAAACAGTTTTTCCAAAAATCATAAACATGGTCTTGTTAGATTCAGGGCGTCATGCCGAATCGACTGATATCCAATTTTCCCAGATCGGACATTTTGAATTATGTGATAAAATGCTGTATTTTTGAACGCATGAACGAATTGTTACGAAACTCGGTTTGGGTCATCAGTACCCTGCCCTGAAGGAGCCTGAGAAGTTTCGAAACAGCGCCATCTAGTGGTAAAATAAAATTATCAAATGCTTTTAACTCTGGCTGTAGTTGACTTATTTTGCGCTATAACATAACATGCTATACTTAACGAATGCATTGGTGTAACATTACCAAACTCAGTTTGTGCCATCAGCACCATCCCCTGAAGGTACTCAGAAGATTTCAAGACAGCGCCACCTTTTGGTCAAAGTTATAACAAAATTTCTAATAATGCTTATAACTTTTGAATAAATCTGCATAATTTAATGCGACTGGTCTGAAGGTTGTAAAAGGTCGATTTTGTAAATACGCCACCTATTGGTCGAAAGTGATAATCCATTTAATCACATTTTTAGATAATTGTACGTGATTTTTCAGCCATTTTGCCTAAATTCATCTTTAAATGTCTTCAATTGCTATTTGCTGCAGTTGATCTGACACATGTTGGCATGTTTTGTTGTCTGATTGTGCTTGGCCCCGTTAATTGCTACTTGCAGCTATATTTAAAGTTGAACTTGCAATCCGACAATCTTGCTCACCAAGAAGCAGGGCCGGCGCGAGGCATAAGAGAACCAAGCGGCTCCCAATCTATTTTCACTTTGTTATTACTATCATTTAGTATAACAACCAACTTTCCATTTAAACTGAGACTTACAGTGGTAACTTCCGTCTGAAGACTGATCTCAGTTTGACCACCAGCTGTCCCGAGGAGAAACATGAGGTGAATATTTGCCTCATAACCTTCATAAACCTGTTTAAAGAGAACTGAGAGATTATAGTTAAGCACACTGAATGAACAGTTATAACTTACCTCAAGGAATTCCACCTTAAATATACTTGCATTTACTTAACCTCTAAGTTCAATCAAGGAGGATTTCAGAATAAATGAACATTATGTAAACTGGAGGGAGTTTGTCAGCTGGCCAATCTGGAGGATTTATGAGATACTGGATAACTTGTAGAGCGCATTATCAACACAAGGAAGACACAGGTGCAATACAATCTTTTTTATTAACAAAACAAGATTTTTTGTTCTTAAATGAATCAGCTATACAAGATCTAAATGTAAGTTTTTAAAAATAATGACATACTAATAATATACACTAACATCATCTATTTGATGGTTTAGACTTACACAAAGCTTAATGTATAATTTGCTTGTCTTTTGCGAGCCATTTCGGGAGGCACACACACACACACACACACACACACACACACACAAGAGCCACCTTGAAGTTGAAAACAGCATCTCTCGCCGGTATTAGTTTCAACTATCACAGATTGAGCTGATTCTGACGTGAAGTTTGTGTTTTAGGAAGGAAGGAAAGCTCTCTGCTGTGAAGGAAAGGAAGCTGCTCTAGATGAAACGTGGATAGTTAAAGTTTGACCTCAAATATCTTCTTTTTATAATCATTGGAAGCCAAAATCAAAAATAAAATTAGATTAATATCACAGTCATAAAGTGTAAACAGACTAAATATTTGTTTAGGGACTCATAATAGTCATATTAGATGCATAAAGAAATCGTGTAGCACACAACAATGTCATATCACTTGAAACGTTGGAGTGGCAAATTTGGCAATGACAGTTATGATTAGTAATATTTTGATTGTTTCAATATAGATGAGTTAAATTCCAATATCATCATGATTGAGCGCTTATACTAAAGACTTCTTTATTCTTGCTTCATCTCAGCTCCGACTAAGATCTTCTCAATCCATTTCACCTGTAAATAAAATAAAATATTCATTTGTAAGAGTACAACACCAACAATAATCATTCAATATCACTTAAGTGTACATGTATATTTCTAATAATGCTGTTTACATTACATAAGAGCTAGTATGATAAACTTTACATTTGTGGAAGCAGCGTGCTTTAAAGCAGTTTAAATTTGCTATTAAATACATGCATTTCTGTATTATCACTTTGAATTCACAAGATGTACACTGTAAAAAATGATCATGAAATTAACAGTAAAAGATTGTAAAAATGCTACAGTGAAAAACTGTTAATTGGTTAACAGAAAGTTTCCTTACTATATACGGTAAATAACTGTGATATATATAATGGTACATTTAATGTAGTTTTACTGTAAAATACTGTTAAATTTACAGTTTTTGGAAGTGAAAAAGAAGAAGTCATTGTATAATTTACTGTGAAAAAATGTAAATTGACTTTCCCACAATTCCCTGCGTGACACTTCACATTTAATGTATTTTAACTGTTTATTCATAATTTTCTTAGTTTTTTTTCTTATCAGTTATGTTCATTAGGGTTTTATGTTACATTTAACGTTGTTAAATTAATTCTTATTTCATTTTTAAAATTTCAACATGTTACCATGATGGTGTTTAATGTTTGTGTGAATGACACTGTGCAGCTTCTATATACAGTAGTAGTAAGATAATGATGAGCTTTGATTGGTCATTTGACTCTCATTTTTGCTGTGATAGATGGCTGTTGGTGTATTGCAATTGAACAAAACAGATATTAATACTTCAAAATGTCAGTAAATTAACATTATATCAAATAATGAAATACGATGTATTGCTGTAAAATTAATTACGGTCAAAGTCTGTAAAACCTAAAATGTTGCTACCGTACTTTTAAAACTCTGGTAACCACAGCTGCCGGATTTTCCCGTAAATTTAACTGATTTTTTTTTACAGTGCAAGTTTTAAATGGTCTCGCCAAATCTCACCAAAATCCCTGTTAATTTTAAAGATAAAAAACTGATATTGTCAGTTTATGTTTGAATATAGAATGTAAATTTTAGATTAAGTTGTACACACATCAGATCCTCACACATTTCTAAGAGTTTGAAAAGTAAAGAAAGCCTAAAGCAATGTGATGTGATGCTTGTCAAAGTAAAAACACACAAGAGACGGAGACATTGATCATGTGAGGCTGGACGGCTGTGAGCTGAAGCTGGAATCTGCTCTGATTATTCCTGCGTTCTACAATCTCTGTACAACTATCAGTCTAATTTTGTTCTAACAAATTCTTATGATTTTCTACTTATGCAATTCATAAACTTGTTCAATAAAGTTGTTTGTTCTTTAGTTTTTCCTCCAGAAATCACTAAAGTACAAGCCCCGCCCCCCAGCTGATTCAAGAGATTTCATTGGTCAAGCCAAGTCACCTTCATTTATAGAGCGCTTTTTACAATAGAGATTTTACAAAGCAGCTTTACAGTCGGAAATTATAGCAACATTTAAACAGCAGCTCTAGAAGAAAGCCATTGTCCAGTTTAAGTAAGTTCAGGAGTGATTCATTTCCATTGTAAAAACAATTTATAGGGCCATTTACACAACAATTAAAGGGCACCTATTATGCCCCTTTTTACAAGATGTAATATTGGTCTCGGGTGTCCCCAGAATGTATTTGTGAAGTTTCAGCTCAAAATACCCCACAGTTAATTTATTATAACCATTTGAAAATGTCATTTTGGGGCCTCTTTAAAAATGAGCTGTTTTGGAGGTATACCACCTTAAATGCAAATGAGCTGCATATCCCCGCCCTGCCTTTGGATGAGGGCGTAACTTGATACCTATGGCAGTCACTCTAAGCAGATGGGCTGAGAGACGCGCTGTTTTGAATGTCATTCAGCATACGTTTGAATCGGAATATATAAATAGTACGAAGAGACTCCGGCAGAATAAACACAAATGAGAATGGACCAGTACGTCTCGGTATGGTTATTTGATATATTTATGTACTTATAGAGTTGTAATCGCGTCCCATTTGCAATTATGGATGTGCAACACACACACACACAGACATACACATACACTAACGCTGGCTTTTTTGAAACTACATACACATACTGTGATAAAGTTTGCTATGTACAAGCGAAATACATTTATACGAGGGACCTGTTGCGTCATGTTTACTTGTCATACGGGTGCTTCTGTGGCAAATGTGAGAAGATGGCTAACTTAGAGAACAACAACATATATGCAGTTTTTAATACAATATATATATATATACAGTATATATATATATATATATATATATATATATATATATATATATATAAACGTATGGTTACACACTATACAAACAAGGTTTAAATTATATAAACAGACATCCTAGGACGACGACGACAACAACTTTAGACGCATTTGTTGTTGAATTAGCTGACATTGACTGAACAGACTAAGTTATTTGCTCAAAATTCATAAAATACACTTACTGTTACTGGAGGTGACGGTGGATTGCAAACAGTAGACGACGATCCACACTTGAGGATTAACTTTTAAGCCACAACAACTGGATTAACGACAGAACACTTATGTTTCCAAGAGATATTACCGGCTGTCGTCGTTGAAACAATGGAGGATGGTGTGTACAGATCACCGAGGGCGGGGTCTATGCCACAACCACATTGTCAATCAAACCCCTTTCTCACTTTCTACGTCAAAAAAGAGCTGAATCTCAGAACAGCTCGTTCTGAAACAGTGGATATGATTTATTGAGATTGAAAAAAAAAACACTGGGTGGATTTTTATCGTTCTAGGGTGGTTTTGCTCACACACTGCCAACACACATTTATGTTCAAACACCATGTAAAAGTGAATTTTCCATAATAGGTGCCCTTAAAATACATTCTGGTCGCCCATTTAGATGACAAGAACCTGAGACCTGAGAACGCAAACTTTGAAACTTTTTTTTAAGTTCAAGTTTTTGAAAACGATATTTTCATGTGTAAACTTCAAAAATGTGAAAATAGTGATGGTGTGCACATGCACATAGCGTATTTAGTCTAGGTATATATGTGCATATGAATGTGTGTGTGCGCAGACACACTCTTTTTCACAAAGTGACATCACCAACTACTTGTCTGGTCTGCATAATTTTAGTCTTTTTTTTACCTTACTAGAAGTTATGTAGCACATCATGGTAGAGAGCATTATGTTTTTTTCTGAAGTCTGATCTTTCTTGGCAGGAGACTGTGATTGGCCAATGATGTTGAATTAGCTGTGGGGTGGGCTTGTGCTTTATTGGTTTCCAATCTATTTAAATTTTGCCCACATTGTTTCAATAAAACTAAATGATATTTTCCTTGCACAAATGTTGAAAGACTGTCAGAGATAATGAAAGTATCTTTAACATCACTGATGTTTACTCACCTGTACAGTTTGAGTCTCGTAACACGTCTCTGAGCTGCTTTGAGTATCTGATCTTATTGTCGCTCAGATCAAGCTCTTTTAAAAACTGCAGTGCATTTGAGTTCGTCAAAGACTGAGTTAAAGCAGAAACATCTGTAATGCCACAGCCCTGTAGGCTAGAACGAGACAAACAGACAAAGATCATCTTACTTTCACCAGATCACAGATAACAAATACACTGTAAACTGTCTTTTCAGGAGAGACTGAGAATAAACGTATTAAACACTTTGTTGAAGTGTTTGTTAAAGAGATTCTCCTCACAAGGTTACAGTTGGTTTATAGATGATGTTATGGTTTATTGTTTATAAAGTTTCTCTCATCAACACCTATCATTTTGCTTCAGAAGACTTTCATTTATCATCTGGGGTGGAATGGATAACCGCTGTGTTTGCTTTGTGTGGTTTCTGAAGAATCATCTTTGAGGTCCAGTACACTTGTATAGACTCATAGAGACAGATTATTACTCTAAAAATCGTGGAGTTCATCTGGAGAAAGTCATATAAAGCTGAAATGGCATGAGGGTGTGTAAATGATAACATTTTCAGTTTTGGGTTGAGTATCTCTACACTATCGCTACACTACACTACACTTTTGGTAAAAAATACTACTGCAGTCACTTTTCTCTGTGTAAGAGTGTATGATGCAGGTCATTTCCAATGAAATCCACACAAACAGCTCTAACATACAGTTCAATATTACAGGTTTATCAAAGTGTATAAGGTTTTTTTTTTTTAATTAATAATAAAAAAAAATGCATAGTGTGGCTTTAAAGATGTTGATTGTTTTAGTAGTTTTGATCTCAGGTGGAACAAAGCACAACCAGGCCTGGATATATGGGGTTTGAGCTTCTCTAAACTAGACAGAGCAATTCAAGCGCTTCTAAACAGATGGGAAGAGTTTAGAAATAGACGAAATTGCTACAGATGTATAAATGTATTTATTTGCCTTCAAAATGTGAAATTTTACTATTGTAGTGTGTGTGTGTGTGTGTGTGTTATTAGATTCCACATATCTGCAAAAGGAAAGAGTCGATGTGGGTCTCATAAACATGTGATTCTGAACTACAGGAATATTAATATTAAACAAAATATGAAATCCAAAATGTGGTTTATGTTCATAAGAGAAGTTTGAGAACCACTGTTGTGTGTGAATGTTACTGACCTCAATCTCTCCAGTTTGCACTGTGGGTTCATCAGTAGATCACTGAGGTTCTTCACTCCTGAGTCTCCTAGTTTATTCTCACTCAGGTTCAGATCTCTCAGGTGTGACGGGTTTGATTTCAGAGCTGAAGTCAGGATGAGACTCTGTTTCTCTGTAATACTGCAATAACTCAGACTGAAGACAGAAAGAGAAAAGACTGAAATGTTTCAGCACGCACTTAGTTTAATAAGTTTTACTTAAGTTTACTAGTTAAAATACATTTAAAATAAAGAGTAATAGAAGGTGCCGAGCTATAAACACTATTACTTGAGTCCTGTTGTCTTAAAATAAACAGTGAACTGTAATATCACAGTAACTGCTGTACAGTATAATTTTACTAACTCTAGTTCCTCCAGTTTGCACTGTGGGTTCATCAGTAGATCACTGAGGTTCTTCACTCCTGAGTCTCCTAGTTTATTCTCACTCAGGATCAGATCTCTCAGGTGTGATGGGTTTGATTTCAGAGCTGAAGTCAGGATGAGACTCTGTTCCTCTGTAATACTGCAATAACTCAGACTGAAGACAGAAAGAGAAAAGACTGAAATGTTTCAGCACGCACTTAGTTTAATAAGTTTTACTTAAGTTTACTAGTTAAAATACATTTAAAATAAAGAGTAATAGAAGGTGCCGAGCTATAAACACTAATACTTGTGTCCTGTTGTCTTAAAATAAACAGTGAACTGTAATATCACAGTAACTGCTGTACAGTATAATGTTACTAACTCTAGTTCCTCCAGTTTGCACTGTGGGTTCATCAGTAGATCACTGAGGTGCTTCACTCCTGAGTCTCCTAGTTTATTCCTGCTCAGGTTCAGATGTCTCAGGTGTGATGGGTTTGATTTCAGAGCTGAAGTCAGGATGAGACTCTGTTCCTCTGTAATACTGCAATAACTCAGACTGAAGACAGAAAGAGAAAAGACTGAAATGCTTCATCAGGAACTTAGTTTATTCCCCATACTCTGTTTTTAAAGGCACTCTATGCAAGATCTGTACCTTAATATAACAGCTTCAAAGTCGTTTTGGTGGTTAACAAAGTCATAGTAGGGCGAATCATCCTGGTAGGAAAGCTTGGGGGGGACGCCGCCGGAAAAACCAGCCATGCAAGTTTGAGAGTGGCGCCCCTGACACAGCTCGCGAGAATCACGAAATGGTTTACGGCAACGACGTCACACGCATCAACAACATCATACTGTATGAAGCTACTTTCGAAAAAGGGAAAGAGAATCGGACCGTGCTAGAAACCGGACAAGAGTCCACTCGGTCGGGCTTTCACTCGTTGACGCGAGCTTAAAAGCTGCACTGGATTGTAACTGCGATGTTGACCTGGCGATCTTGTTGATGGACTTGTAAGTAAATCTCTTATTTATAAACTTGTTTGTATTTGTATACTTGTTTCTATATTGTATGTTGCTGCGCTGGCTTGTGGTATGTAATTTTTTACGGTGCTGTTCATTCATCCGTTGTTGATAATTAGACCAGTTCAATAATTCTCACGTCTATAGCTTTCGATTACCAGAGCTTTAAGCAGACTTCCTAAAAACAGTCGTTTCTCTTAGTCTTGTTGTTTTTTTCGTTATGTTTTATTGCCGAGCTTGCCACAAGAGCTAGTTTGCCAGCTGAACTCAGGTGTTGTGATGTGTATTTATCACGTATCTTTAGTCCTGTGTCTGGTTCGGATTTCTTATGACGTGCGTAAGTTACTGTTATATCAAGTTTATCTGACTAACAGTGCACTTCCCGACTGTAACTTCAAATTGTGTTGATTATGAATCAATCAAATCTTGACGCTGTTGATGTTGATTCTTGCGATTACCATGAGGACATAGTCAATATCTCACATAATTATTAGGACATATATAAGCCTAGAGGTTGTAAATAATTGAACACAATTTGCTATTATGATAAATTGTAATAATCATGTCTAACACCATAACGTCCAATGTTATGAAATAATGCGACGTACATTTAACTTGATTGATGTCATCTGACATTTTGTAATGTTTACATTACAATCAAAAAACATGAATGAAATTATACAGTAGCCTATACACTATAGGCTATTTACTTCTGATTTTGCAGAAATCATGTTAAAACGCTATAAGCCAGCAAACGCGATAGGCAACTTTATTATTAAAAAGCAGTCTAGCACTTGACAGTAGTTCAGTAGATATGCAGTAACAGGGGAATAACGGTTATTTACGACAGTGCAAGTACACCACAGCGGCTCTAGAGGTCACTGTTTTACAAAAAAACCAGAGAGTGCATAGTGTGCCTTTAAGGCTGTCACACTAGTTCTGTGTGC